CACTCAATTTTGCCTATCTCAACTCTTATTGTATTCAAGCTAGTGATCCTTTCGCTGCCGACTGTGGGCGAGAGCTACGACGCTGGCACCATTATCCCCAAGCCCAAGTACTCGACGTTCGGCGAGCATACCCGTCATTGAGGATCCGTGATGACCTCAGTTGGTACCAGTGCTTGAAGTATAAGGGCCGTTGTTATAGGCTTGTCCGTTTAGGGTTCGGAGCGTCTTGTGCTCCGCGATTACTGAAAAATGTATTAGATTTTATTCTCCAAAACTACCCTTCTACTCTCCGATACTTCGATGATATTTTGGTGACTCGCTTAAATACTCAGTCGGTTGAAGATTTCAAGAAGGTGGTGACTGCTGTACGAGACGTCCTATCTCAGAACGGCTTACGAACAAAAGAGCCTGTGGATTTGATAGGATCTGAACTTTTGGGGTTGGCAATTTACCTAGATAGTAATGGTGTCCTACGTTGGAAGCGGCGTCGTCCACTAGAAGCTCTTGTTGAATCTATTGAGTCCCGTGTTAGTGAGTCACCGACATTACCCGCACGAGAGGTTGGTTCATGGCTTGGCGAATTTGTCGCACATGTACCTAGTGCTGGGTACTTACGTGTCTGTGTTGCTTTTGGTCGTCGTGGGGCCAAGTGAGGCCCCATGCTAACTCGAGACAGCTGAAGTTTCTGCTCTCGGACTGGTGTTGGTTTCCGAAGATGGGGAACCTCTGTCGTAGTGTTTGTCAAGCTTGTGGCAGGGTGGCTGAAAGTGGGGAATTATACCTATTATTCCCGGGAATATTCCCGGGGAAGGGAATTAAGGAATTATTTTAGGGAATAATACCTGCATTTTCGGGAATTATGTAAAATAAACACCGAACAACGATGAACATGTAGCTTCTTGATGGATTCTGAGGTTGTTGTTGTAACTAGTGGACTCCAAAAGACCACGAATATGGGCCTGACTCACTTGATGTGTATGAAAGACGACGTCGATCGATCGGGCGCACGCTCATGGCAATGCTCATGTGTACAACTCTCTTATGCCGGCTTCGTTCCTGATCACCTCACGATGATTTGATCATCTTTGTTCGATCGGCCTCAGCTATTGTGACTCTCATCATGCCTCGAAGGTGCAATCCTGAGAACCTAGACCCAAACCAGCACATATTGGAGACTCCAATATGTGCTGGTTTGGTACGGTACAGGTACTCCACTGGTCAAGGTACTCCAATTTGGAGTACCTTGCATACGAGTCGTGGGCTACGACGATGACGGAGAGCCAGTGAAGAACTGGCGGTGTGTCTTCATAAGAGAACCGGGTGAACCGAAAGTACACACATAACACAACAACTGAGACTTCTGTTCCCATACACGCAATTCAATTCAATTCAATTCCATTCAATTCAAGCTGATTCAAATCTTATTGTGGGCCATAGGCCAATCGCCCTCTCACAACAATGCTACTAGCAAATACTGCCAAAATGACTACGGCATACAACCAGCCTGGCTGATACTATCAGCTGTCTCGGGTCCCAGTGTGTGAATGCACTAACAAAGCTTCTCCCAGTGCGGACGAAGCCATCCAGCATAACGGCGCTCTCAGAGAAATCCAGAAATCCTGGAGCAGAATGCAGAGTACGACACTGTCGTAACGACAGTGACGAACCCGAGTGAGATTTTTCTGGGTGGGGTAGCATGTAAGTGGTGGCAGCTTGATCCCAGTTTCGATCTTGTTAGA